TGTGTTCATTCGATGTGAGGATTGGTTACTGGGTTTACCTCTGATGCATGGCCTTGCGGGAGATGGGCTGAGCCATTAAGAAGTTGCCAGAAGCGGGTCAGCTGGGAACATGTAAAGGTCAGCATTTCCGTAAATGAATTTCTTCTGAAACTAGTGAGCAGTTTTATTTTTTCTACCTTTTAAGTAGTACACCCTTTTCTCATTTAGTAATTTAATGGTATATGGAAATGCGTATATGTAACTGCATACATATGAGATACGATCATAAGGTTGTGTATCTAGTTTCTTTTCTGAATACCCAGAAGATCCAAGTGTTTCATGTCACCCCACGATCCTTAAAAGGTGTCCCCTTGGGAGCAAGTAAATTGACTATTGCAGGGCTGTCCAAGTAGAAACACTCTGGGAACTCCACCACGAGGGTGGCCTTTGGGGCCTGGCACACTCCTTTGATTAACATAAGAGATGAGAAATCTTCATCTTTTGAGGATGGATTTAAGTTTTGAAAATCATCCAAAGTGATTCCTAGCTCAGTTGGATGAAAAATGATGGGTGATTATAGTAAGTCACACCATTTTAGCTTCTAAAAAAAGGTCCCCAAGGTCTTTCTCACAATGAGTCTTCAGACTCTGAGAGCCGCACTAAATGACCGCTTCAGAGAAGGACAGTACTTACTAGTACATGTAACTTCTAGTGGATTCGCTTTTACACGTCTGTTCTCTTGCCGCGCACCTCGTATGTATTCACATCTCTGCATACACTACGGGTGTAAGTGTATATTCATTAGTATAAACACCCGGTAGGTATTCTATGAAGCCATGTTATACCTAAGTGCATGTTATTGTCACGTTATGCAACAACTGAGGTATTTCTTTGTCATGAAACTTTGCTGCTTCACAGAGTTAAAATACTGCTGTCTATATAATGAAGTACATATACAGCATCTCTTTATATCAGTTCCCAAAGTTTTGATGCCCAGTAGTGTGTTTACATGTGTTTTTGCCCAGGATTCTGTTTCCAGATAAGACACCTATAAGTATTTATTACAAAGAAGAATGTAAGCAAGTTTGTCCACAGTAGTTTTATTTCAATCAGGGTGGTTTTTGTTTTTGTTTTTTTCTTTTCCTTTGAGTAAGGATGGTGGAGCCTCCTCCTCAATGAGGCACTTAGAGAATCCGTGTAAAATTCTGTGGCTCGAGGACAAGCGCATGCACCCAATCTCATCTAAGAAGCCTGATGGTCAGTCAGTGTCTCCGCCCACTCTATGTGCATCGCTGTGCTTGGTGTCCGTGTGCTGTGTTCTTTCCAGGGGACACCGGGATCTGGGTGTCACGTTTTGGCGTCTTCGTATTGCTGGTCTGTACAGAGCTGTACAGCCAGATGAGTCTGTGTACAGAGTGGGGAGTCCAAGAACATGGCGTGTCCCCCACAGCAAATTTTAATGTTGTTGGTCAGCCAAAGATTTTCCTATTCTTTGCTGCTTAAACTTGTGCCTTAATATTGTATATAATAAATGGATAAAATGACAAAATGGCTATCCTTTCCTTCATTGTTGCTCTTTTTGTTCCCAAAGAAGAACTTACAAGTTGAATGCTCAATAGATGTTTGTTTAATTTCACTGCTCCGGGGCAGCTTCCCTTGATATGCTTTGCTTCCAGGAGGTTCAACTCCTGGGGCCTCCTGCTTACAGCACCCCACCCTCACCAACACACAGCTCTTGATTCGGGGAGGAAGTGAGTCATCCAGGCCTCAAAGCTGGCAGTCTGCCCACTTCTGTCTCCTCCAGACAAAAAATGAAAAGGAAACATAGGGAGACTGTGAGCCCAGGGGAGGCAGTTTCTACTTCCATCACATATAAGCATCGTTTTGGGTGTTCTGTATTCAGAGCCTGCCAGTGACCACTGTAAACTGAACTGTCTCAAGGAATTTACCCAAGCAGCCGGAACTGGTGTTTGGGCCCCAGGATGGGCTGTGGGAGGTGGGAGGTGCTTGTTAGTGCCTCGGTTCACAGAAGAAAAAAAAAAGTGCTTTGGTAGAAAGGAGTCACATAGTAAATTAGTGAAATTCATGCCAGGAGCATCGGTGACTGCAGCCAGGAGAGGAGAATCAATCCTGCCTGTGAGAGTCCCCAAGTGAAGTTGCCTCCCACAGGGACCAGGACCGTGGGGTCACTGCTGTGAGGAGGGGGTTGTACCCTCTGTTTAGTCTCTGGCTGTGCCTCCTTCAAGTGAAGCCTTTGCTCCTCCTCCCAACAGCCCTGGCCCCAGCAGTGCTTTCTCCTAGCATGAGAAGAGCTTTCTAAAATGTGAACTTAGGAAGAGTGTGAAGGATACGTGTCTACTCCCCCAATAATAATAACTGATGAGATTTACATGAATAATCTCCTTCAGTCCTAACAACAACCTAGTCATTATTTGGATTTTAAAGATGAGGAGATAGATTCAACCAACCTCAGGTAAGATTAAAAAAAAATCACAACTAGAAAATGATAGAACTGGGATTTGAGCCCAGGTCTACCTGATCAGAGCCTGTGTACTCAAATGTGAAAGGTAGACTGACCCTATGGAACAGCAGAGCCCAAATTTAGATCTACTTGGGTTCTTACCTACCCAAGGAATCCTTTGCAGGGGACTCTGGGTCTCAGGCATGTGAATGTGACTTAATTAGCGTAAAGGACAAACCTTTGCAGCTCTCAGGCCTTCAGCTTTCAAGACTTCTGCTCTATGAAGACAGTTGGAGGCCTTACTGGACCTGCTGCTTTTAGGGCTTGGAAGAGGACTGTTCTGAGCAGATCATCTAGCTAGTCCAGTAGTTGCAGCTTCTGTGGGTCCCACCTGTGTCTGGCCTTTCTCTTGGCCCCTTACACACGAAAGGAGAGAAATCCTCAAGCCCAGCAGTTCTGTGTAGTCACTGCAGGTGATAGCCACACACTGCCATATCCTCAAGGAATGCTAGCCTCCGTCCATCCAAAGATCCTGGGCTGGGGCTTCCGCAGACACACGGGATAACAATGCCCTTGAATATTGCCTAGGCTCGTCATAATCCCGAGTTAGGTCCCAAATGAGACATAAATCAGGAGCTGTGAAATTCCTTTCTTAAAAAAGTTCTGTGTTTTTGAAATAAAAAGGGATTTTTGTCATTAAAGGATGTTACTATGTTTTCTTGTTTCTGTCACCCTTATATCAAGCCTGACAACATGTCTCTTGGCATGCTTCCTTTATCTGTCCCATCCCCAAAGGCAGACAATGCCATACCTTATCCAGGTGAGCCTGAGCACCTCTCTTGACTAGGCTATCACCCTCAAAACTCTTCCTGTTCTAGAATATTGGGAGATGTATATATGATTTTTAGAAAATGAACCTGAAATTTATGGAGCCCAGAAGGCCAAGGAGACCCTCCCCATCTGATGTGGATTTCTATCGAAGGGTGACTCTTCCCAGGTTCCTGAAGGCTCAATGTGTATACAGAGAACATGAGGTTCACAGACCAAATTGTCGAGTAATTTGGAGTACAATAATTTCTAATCCTATTGTTGGAAACTAATAAAATATTAAACAACTTTATATTCTGATTGGTTTAATTAGCCCCTGTGAATGTGGGAGGAACTAAACTATTGAGTTGGTTTTGGAATGTCATTTAACCTTCACAACCCCACAGATAGGTAATACACATTGTTACCCCTGAGTTTCAGTTGAGGCCACAGGCACAGGAAAGGTGAAGTGTGTGCTAGGCACCACAGCTTAGTAAGTGGGAGGAGTTGGGAGACAAACCCAGCCTGCTCACTCCAAAGTGCTCACTCTTCTTTGCACACCCTGTGTTTGGCCTCGGTGTTAGTTTTAATGATTTGTTTTTATTAGTTCTAAAGAGGATTGGTAGGTGTCATGGATTGAATTGTGTCTCCCAAAAAATATCTGTCAACGTGGCTAGCTCATGATTCCCAGTATTGTAGGATTGTCTACCCTCTTGTCGTCTGATGTGATTTCCCTATGTGTTGTATATCGTATCACTATGATGTAATAAGATGGATCAGCAGCAGTTATACTGATGAGATCCACAAGACTAGATAGTGTGTTAAGCCAATCTCTTTTAAAATATAAAAGAAGTGAGCAGAGAGACATGGGGACCTCATACCACCAGGAAAGCCGTGCTGGGAGCAGAGCGCGTTCTTTGGACGTGAGGTTCCTGTGCTGAGATGCTCCCAAACCAAGGGAAGACTGATGCATCACAAGGACCTTCCTCCAGAGCCAACAGAGAAAGCCTTCCCCTGGAGCTGATGCCTTGAATTTGGACTTGTAGCCTACTAGACCGTGAAAGAATAAATTTCTCTTTGTTAAAAGCCATCCACTTCTCGTATTTCTGTTATAGCAACACTAGATGACTAAGACAGTAGGCAAATGACTAATCAAAATACCATCTTTTTGGAAATATGGTGTTTCCAGCAGAAGGCCTGCACTGGGTGGGCAGACTGGACCAATGCTTCTGGTCTATTTGTAGAATACATATTTAATTTATACCTATTTGACTTTCGTTATTAACGCAGAGCTCACTGGTGACCTTGGGCAGCATGGGGGAGAGGGACCTTTA